CAGGATCTGCTTTAAATCAACCTGGAGACTGAATTTAAACGACAGGAAGTGGTGGAACATGACGCAGCTGCACACACTTCATGTGTTAACCGTCTGCTAGTTTGAAAGTGGAGAAGTGACAGCTGCTTTATCATCACGTTTAATGTGCTGTGTATTACGAGATTTCATGTGGTTTGTTGGTCAATCTTTGACTGGAATCTTTCCAGCATGTGACAAAGGTGCAGCAGAAAGTCCAAAGTTTACACTCCTGCTATTTGTACCTGATTGCACCCCAAATGTACTTTTACTTAAATTTCTCTTTTTGTAAAACAGCAGTAGACCATCCAGTTAGTTGTGTCAAAACTTTTTATGAATACACTTTTGAAATCAAAATAGCAAGAGTATGTAAAGTACAGCGATCGAGCTACACAAATCAGCCATTATAATTATTTTACTAGGAGCGCTGGTGGCTCAGTGGTTAGTGTGCGCCTCCCATGTATGAAGGTTGTAGTCCTCCAAGCAGACGGCCCAGGTTCAAATCCTACCTGTGGCTCCTTTCCCGCATGTCATTTCCCACTCTCTCTCTCTGCCTGATTTCCAACTCTATCCACTGTCCTATCTCTTCATTTAAGGCACAAAAAGCCCCAAAAAATAAATACAATTATTTTACTATTCAAACCTGTTCTTCATTTCAGAAGCATTTCAGTAGCCCTGTTCAGATTGCCGTTTCAAGCCGCCATCTTTACGCCCCTGTGACGTTTCGGCTTCAATCTGAATGTTGCAGAGAGAAGCGTAATGGTGGAACTCTGTAACGTGTAAAATCCCGAAGTTCATCCAGTGTCCGCTTGAATCTGTCAGAAGTCATAAACACACCACAGCAAAAAAAAATCCAACATCTGGCTCCTTTCCCGCTTGTCATTCCCCCACTCTCTCTCTCTCTCTCTTTCTCTCTCCCTAGTTTCCGACTCTATCCACTGTCCCATCTCTAAAATAAAGGCCTTAAAAATAAATCTTAAAAATACAGATTAAACACTTAGTTTGAATTAGTTCACTTACAGATTCTCAGCAAGTAATTAGAGGCACCGAAGTGCAGGATGAAGTAAGCAGGATGTTTAGGACAAATCCATGTGCTGCATAATTATTAGTTTTTTTGTGATTAAGTGTGCATTTTAGCAATAACTTGTCAGTTTCTGTTCTGTCTGTTTTATGCAGCACATGTATTTTTTTATGTTTTCTACTAAATACAAAACAATTAAAAAAGAACTTAAGTGCCGTTCTGTTTCACCACAGAGCTTGATCAACTTCATTTCCTCTCTGTCGTGTGAGCTAACGCTGCAGTCAACACCAATAAATCTGAAATTCGAATGTGTGAATGCATGACTCATGTTTTCAGGGCTCGTCCTCATCGTCCTGTTTACTTCATAACATGGACAAAATTACAAACAGAGCTCAACATTGGGGTTCATTTTCTCCATAGCGGATTTGATTATTAGCAATAATTTCCATATCCTTCCAAGGTCGACTGACCACGAGCTACCTGAGTGTGAAATTATATTATCTGCTCCTTTAGAAGTTTGCATTTCAACCTCATTTGTAGAAAAACATGGTTCATTTGTGATCTCGGGGACTAGAACTACACTACCCACAATCTTAGGGTGTCACAGCGAGATCCCTGATTGATGGAGCCCGCTGTTACCATGGAAACGTTATCAACCCTGCGAACTTAGCCTGTCAACCACTGATGTTAAGTTCAACACACTATATAAACACAAACTACAATAAATGACAACGTGATTATTAACAATATAAACACGATAAAGATAAATGAAGAAAGAAGGTCTGTGTACGTTTTGAAAGAAGCTGGAATCACAATGCATTGTGGGATGCGTAGTTCCATCACTCCCAGATAAAGTCATGTACACAGTCTTGTAGCTTTGCCCTTTTGAAACATTTATTTGTGCTGGGGGAAATATTTTACAGTCCTGACTTTTCAGGTAGCTGGCTACATAAAACATTTTTCAACATATCAGGGTTTTCTGAAATGTCAGAGGAGGGTTTGAAAGAGATGGAGATTTACTTCCAGAACCAGAGCTGCCGATAAAGTTGGCAGTCACTGTTGAGCTCCAGTGTTGCCACATGGGAAATACAGCATTATCGTACTGCAGCTTTATAATTATTGAATTTTAGCTTCTCCAAAGCAAAGGATACTCATAGGTATTGTAGTGCTTAGAGAAAACAACGATACCAAACCAGCCTTGAAAATTAAATTTGACCCTGGATTTTTTTTACTTTGGGCAATGTGCAAGAAGTTGTTCTCTCCAGATTTATTATAAAGGTTGACTGTATCAGAATCTGTGTGTGAATCTGCGGCTCATCTGGTTTATCTGTAAAAATTAACTTTCCTGTCGAAAAAAGTTCTACCACTGTTTCTGTGTCGTCTACTTTTTCCCCAGTGGTCGCGGTTCGAGACACTTCTGTCCCTCTTTAGTGTTCAGACTTCACATCCACAGGGAAGAAAAGGATTGAAATTCCTCCCCGCAGGAGAGAGTGACATCACTGCGTGTAACAGCAAATTAGAGTCCTCGTTTTGAAGCTATATGCTCAGTGTTCCATGGTAAGTAGATTAAATCAGTTCATGGGGCTGGTGGCTCCTTCCCAAACAAACATTCCTCTGAGGAGTTATCACAGAGACAGAAAATGTACCCTGAGCCAAAAACCCTTCTCTCTATATATATCTCCGACTCATCTTTTAGTTTCTGGAGGCGGCGTCATCTGACTGACAGCAGACACATTTTTCCTGACACATTACGTCAAATGCAGCCCATAAAACTGGTATCACACTTTAACACCTGGACCTCAGCATGTTTTTCTTTATTAAAGCCTCCTGAAATATGGTTTGAAATACTTTAAAAGCTTTTATAAAATCACAACTATTGGAAAACAAAAATAAAGAAACAACTCAATAGACAAATACTCTGTGTGGGCGTGTCAGGTGAAGCTTTGATTCTCGATTGCCTGGCTTTGCACACGACGATGACACAACGGGCAGTGACATTAACCCTTCTTTTCTTTTTTTAGCTGACTTTTGGAGGGCTTTTTTCCCTTTGTTGACAGGACATATGAAGAGAAACAGGAAATTAAAAAAAGGGGAAGATTGGCATCAGAGAGCTGAGGGTTTCGAGTTGTTGTGTCGAGGATTTTGTTTGTGTGTGTGGGGCCCCTACCGCCTGACTTAAACACTGATGAAGATGATATACGTCTCCGTTTGCTAAGACAGAAGAAGCAGAAGCCATGCTACCTGAAAAAACATTCCCTTCAATCGCTTAATGATGAATTACAAGTAAGGATGTTCCTAGATGACTAATGCTCAAGCCTGTTAAACAGAAATTAAGATGCAGTCTAAAGGTAAGAAAACACTTGAACATTATTTATTTGAGGAGGGGTAGCACTGCTAACCTTCGGTGCCCATGCTACATGTTGATACTCATTGTTCCAACAGGTATGTCAATTCAACCTGACACCGCCTACATACAGGTATAACTCCATTATCGATCAAAATCAAAATACTGCCGACATGTTAACCATTCACCGTGCTCGTTTACATCCGGGTAGTAGAGCGAGGAGAGCAGACTCATTAACCAGTGTATGGAAACGACTCCAACTAGTGGCGGGTAGCTGCATTGCAGTTTGACCAGAATGGCATTGAGGGCCAAAATATTAATAATTTATTTCACTGACTAGCAATTCTGGAGCCGACTATATGAGGGTGATGACGTTTAACCCTCTAGCTAGGCTACTACTACCTCAGTACTTCATACATTGCAGACAGGGCCTAACAGGAGCATTATTGTCCAGCACTGAACTGGCAATATGTAAGAACCAAACGTCATCTGAGATCCCAGTATTTGTTCTTAAAGGGATAAAAGTAACGCTAAACAATAATTCTGTTAGCTACGGAGCTAAACTCCCTCTGCTGACGCTAAAGTCCTGCCAATAACAAAAGATCATTAGCAGTCCAAATTGAACTCCTGCACCTGAAAAAATGACAACCAGGTTCAACATTCAACACTTTTAGGCTACATCATCAACAGCCAATATTTCAAATCTGGATCGAATCAAATAGCTTTAATGTTTCGTTTATTGTAATTCTGTACATACGACCCTACATTACAGATAGGTTATTGTGGACTTGAGTTTCTTGTTTGGGTTTGAGAGTAGAAAGAAAAAGACCAGGCAGAAAGTAAATTTTATGTTTTGAAGAGACAGATTTCTAAACTTCATGCCGAGTTGGAGCAAACCCTGTGCAGCCCCTGTGTTTGTGATCTGTGTGGCAAGGTTGGGATTAGATCAAATACGAGCAGCGTATTTTTAGCCGGTGACATTTGGGAGATAAAGGTGGTGCAGCAGCAGGATGGGAGGAATGCAGAGCCAGGAGTTGCAATATCACAGATACTGTATGACTGTTAGGAGGATTACCTCACCTGCTGGCAGGAAGTAGGAGCCTGGATATGACTTCTGCCCTCAGAGAAAACACAACACTGCACAGGCTGCTACAGGATTATCTACACCGCTTTAAGTCAAGTTTTCTTTTTGATGAACAGTCAAATAGTGCTGAAAGTCTGCAACCAAAGTGACTCAAACACTGCTGCGGACCAACACTTTGTCCTGCCATCTTTGTGGTGAAGTGAAAACAAACAACTTCAAACTGGAGTGGGAATGAAACTCGACTGTCCCTGGAATTTATCACCTCCCATCCTTCACTGTACTGCAAAAAAATGTTCAAGGCTTTGCAGCTCCTTGCAAGCAAAATGACTCAAGGTAAATATTTAAAGCATCCCTCCTCCTGAGGAGCAATCAAAAGACAAACAGTTTCCACTCGGAAAGAAAAAAGGACAACTGAATCTGTCTCTGGAATTTATCACCTCCCATCAAGACTGGACCTTTCTCACAAATCACATTTAATCTCTCGTTCAATCCTTTCTGCAGACAGCAACACTTACACTACATTTTTAAAGCCTTACCTCGTCAGTAGAGAGGGCATGGTGGATCCTGATGGACTGGCTTCAGGTGTTGGTTGTCAGGTGCAGCTTTGTTTCAGTATCATGGTGAGAAACGTCGCGGTGCAGATGCGCAGTGCATCCCAGCTGCAGACTCCAACGAACGGATTTCAGTCCCAAAAACACCCATACCCTCTAATGTCTCTTTTCTGCTTTTCCTTTAATTATTTAAATTTATACCAACTCTCTCTCTCTCTCTCTCTCTCTCTCTCTCTCTCTCTCTCTTACTCAAAGAAAGGGGTAATACATCCAAGATGTTTCCCAATTTCCCTCCTCCAAAAAAAGAATCACATCAGTTTTGTCCTCTGGTACGCGCGTAAATACGCATTTTCAGGACTTACTAGGTGAAGAAGTTTACTTGCTATTTTCTTCCTTATTATGTTACGCACCACTCGCCGACATTCACGTGGGCACTACATGTTAATCCAGGTAGAAATTAAGTGTAACTATCGCCTCCGTGCAGGTGAATTCCTGTGTGGTCAGTCCTGAAGCAGCAGGTATATCTCCAGCAGCTTTTCTTTGTAACTTTCCTCTCAGTCCGAACAGGGCCGGTAAGATCTCCAGAGAGCCGCCGACAGAGCTCCAGCAGTCAGCCGTGCTTGGTTGTATGTGTGCCGGGCTGTTGTGTCTGTGTTTTGGTGTGTCCCCCCGCCTCTCTCTCTCTCTCTCTCTCTCTCTCTCTCTCTCCACCTGAGCGCTGCATTCCTCCGGTGAACACGCCTCCCTCCTCCAATCAGAGCCCAGCAGCTCCTCTTAAATCAGAGGTGACTCACTGAAGAAATCAAGAAGGTGAAGAGGAGATGCTTTACAAGGCAGGAAGAGGAATAAAACACTGAATTAGGAGATTTAAAGAATCGAAATCAAATGCATTCATTACTTGAAAAGTTAGCAGGTGCTGAACAGAAGATAAGGACTAAGTGGAGATAGATTAATCCATCAATAGATTAAAGTAAATCCCCTAAATGGAGGAGGTGCAACAACAATAAAGATAACAAATAAATTTGGCTCATGCAAAGAAAAAAAACAACAAAGGAAAGAAAACTCCTAATTTCCAGAAAGAAGCCAAACTTTTATTGCAGTGACAGGTCAGAAAAAAACAGAGAAGGAAGAATTTATTTTCAACATTTTTATTTCATTTAAAAAAGGAAAACAAATGTAATATTCATTATCAACATCAACGCTTTGCAAACTTTTGATATTTCAACAATACTCCACATTTCCACTTTGTTGTCAACATTTTCACATTACACACATTTGTCTTTTCACAATGACTTTGCTGTCACAAACTTTTGTCTTTGCATTTACTCTCAGTTCCTGTTCCTTGACAGGAAATAAATGCTTCCCTTTGTGTTTGTTTGCATGTGTAGAAGGTCCATTATTCAGAATTGATTGTTTGGTATATATCGTAATTCAACAGTCAGTTTAGAAACCAAGAATGCTTTTGAAGAAGACGTGAAAAGTCTTCAACGCCTTCAGCCACTTTCCTTTTGGATTAAGTTTAGAATTTCCATTGCCTTGACGACTGAGGGCAAAGGCATTATAGTCTTCTCCAGCTCAATATCGGACTTATATATAGTCCTTCAAAAATGTGGTATAACTTTTTATTTACATCACACACACACACAAAGCCTTCACATTTCTGCAGTTATTCCTTCTTTTAAGAATCACCTCTCAGTCTCTCCTTCCTGAGTCCTTCTCACTCTGTCCTTCTGCTTCTCTGCATCCTTTCACCTTCTCCTCACCTGCCCTGCTGCTTCACCAGAAATAACCGAGATAAATTCATCTCCATCCACATGTCAGGGCACCTTTCTTGTCTTAATCTCTCTGTACCAGCGTTCCCTTTTCTCATCTCACATTTCCACCTTTTTTTTTTTTTTAACCATGTGTAACTGTATCTATCGGTCTTTGTTTCTCACAGAGCTTCACATTTGAAGTACCATGCCTCCCTGTAGCAGGTTTTGTTTTACAGTTTGAGAACATTTTGTGAAGTATGAGGCAGTAACACGCAGGTCATCCGTCGTTTCACACGCTGGGGCGACTTAGTTCTGCTGAAGCGACCACATGTCCTCCGTGTGAACTCAGAGCAGCGTCTCCACCTCGCTCTGTCACAGTCTCCTTTAAGCTCGGCCAAGGCGGAGACAATTCATCTGAGCTGTGCTTCAGTTTCAGCACGCGACCTTGAACTATATCATCTGGAGCCGTGCAGACAAAACACAAGGAACAGGACAACATGAGTGTCTCCACACGGAGCTGCAGGGTGTCAGAGTATCTGTGTCAGAGCCTCAGCCGGGATCTTAACCGTTTCTGTTGCTACTTGTTAGCTTGTGTTTGACCACACAGGGTCATGTCTCCAGTGTAAATATTATCCTGAATAAGACTGCTGACACAGGATGTGATGTTGCAGTCATTTGAAGCCCACAACAGATGTCAAGAAAATGATTTACAAACCTACAAATGTTGACTTGCAGACAACATGAGCCTGCAGGGACATAAATCCACAGGAGCATTAGACAGGCAGCAGCAGCAGAGTGTGGTGCAGGTTTTAGATTCGGTTATCCAGTGATATCTAAAGCCTCTTGAAATAACTTAGATGCTAAAATAATTACACTTAAGTCCATTTCTTCTCATCTTTTATTACAGTATTTCCAGCATGTGTGTTGCACTCAACCCAGAGTCTAATGGTGTATACCACTTCTGCTTTAAACTGCAGTTCCTCAATCAGCCACTTGAGGCAGTGGTTGATGAAGTGAAAACAGAGCGTATTCTCGAAGCAGCTCACTCTGACTTTCTGCAGAAAAAAAACTGGGAGGCTGGCAGGAGAAACTCCGGATAAAGATTTAAGGATGCAAATGTGGCTGTTTGTGTTTGTTCACATGTGCGCCTCATCCCAAAACTTCAGGAGTTTTTCAGGAGTTTTGTGCAAGAATGAAAGCACTATAGCTCACCAGCTAGCTTAGCATGTCGTCAACCATCAACGGGGAACTAATGCAGCGAGCACAGGTGAAAGAATCTAATCAAACCCCATTACATAAAATCTGAACTATCCCTTTAAGGCTTTCATTTTGCATGCAGTAAATGTGTTCCCAGTTGGGTAACATTTGTTAGAAAGCTGTGCAGTGTGTGTGTGTGTGTGTGTGTGTGTGTGTGTGTGTGTGTGTGTGTGTGTGTGTGTGTGTGTGTGTGTGTGTGTGTGTGTGTGTTTTTGCTACATATTGCTGTGATGTGTTTTTGAGAAGTTTGTGCCAAAAGACTTTACTTTCAGTGTTCTATTTTTTTCCTTTTTCATTAATCAAAGTTTGTACCTTTAGACATCAGGTTGTTCTCTCTGTCTTTTTCACCCTTTATTGTTTAGACATTGATCATCATCAGGGTGAAGGGGAATGTACTGAAGGCTAATTCAGGCTGTAAGCAGAGTGCATACAGATGGACAAGGGTTTGTAATTATTACGAATGTATGTAGTCAGTCTGTAACAACAGTCCTGCTTGTTGGCTCGCGATTCATAAATTGTGTAGAAATGTTTCCATCAGCAGCGAGTGGCTCCTCCGTACCTGTGTGTGTATATAATGATTAGTTAAGTGCTCTCAGGACTCTCTGCTTGTCCCGGCTTGCAGAGACATTTTCCTTGTCCCTCCCTATGGTTCCCCCATCTTCACTGCATGCTCTTCACTCTTGTAATGCTCTGTGTGTTTACTAAGAGACGGATCGCCTCGGTGTTTACAGTAATCATCACATTCATGCACGTACGCTCTCTCTTTCTGTGCATTTAGCAGTCTGCAGGGTGCTGCTCTGTAATGAGAGGCTTCAGAGCTGAGGAGGCACTTTAACACTCCTCAAAGACATTACGGGGGAGGTTTGAGCGGGGTATCCACCTCCCCCCTCTCTCCTTTAAGGTTTTTACTGAGCTTGGCAGCCTGCCAGCATGACTGGAGAAACTGGATGGGTGGACAGAGTTTCACACAGCAGCTCTGATGAAAGACTGCTGCTGGTGGTGTGAAAAGTCCTATATATTACATGTGGCCTTCACACAGCTGCAGCCCGGACTCAGGAGGTTTTTTGATGTGCTGCAGCCTGTAAGATGTGTTGTCTGTCTGGTGAAAAACCTCCCATTTAAACCATTTAAACTGAGGTTAAATATTTGTGTGTACCTGGAGGATTAAAAAGTGTTTCCACAAGCAGGGTGGATCAGACAGGAATAAACAGACGTAAACATGAAGACACCCAGCTTCATGTTGAGACGCTGAAACAGAGTAAGGTCAAGGTAAGCTTAATCACCAAAGAGGGAAAGGTAAATTATAAGAGTTCAGAAGTACACAAAGCAGGCATAAAAACAGATATCTTAACAAATACACAATTTGCAATTTTATTAAACACACAAACACAGACCGCTTTCACACTGCACCAAGAAAACTGAGATTTTAACAGGAATCTTTCCTGCCAGCCTCTTGGGCCTAGTCCACCTGTACTCATTTTTGAAAACATAACTTTTTCTGTGCTTTTTGGCCTTTGGTACGCAAGGTCAAGGTCAAGGTTTCTTTATTTGTCTCCCACGGGAGAAATTGGTCTCGGATGCTGGGAAGTTGCTTCACAAACAATACATGAAACAAATACAAACAGTTATTAAAAATGTTCAAAACATTAGCTTAACTGCGTTTTAGGTCACTGAAAATTCACTTTTTGGAAAACTCCTTCCACGGTGAAGATTTTCAGAAACTAGTCGTTTAAATGTGTAGACGGGGAAAACTGAGTTTTGTTCTTGTAAGGTCACGCTGTGCGCCGGTTTCTCCTCCGTTTGAAGTCAACGTGCGACGCTGTCACTTTTGTTTACATGAGATTAGTGTGATGGCAGACGTTACCAAACTAGCACCGGTGCTAACTTTGCTAACCGGACTTTTTAAATGCTAAGTACATACATGCATACATACATACACAGTTACTCTCCCACTGTGTTGACGAGCAGAGACGCCTGAATGGACTACTTTGTAAATAAAATGGTGATTGCAGAGGAATGGCGAGGACATTTCCGCACTTCAGTGACATTGTTTTAGACTTGGCGTGCTCATGACAGCTGTAAGTGCGTCTTGCATTTTCATGTGGACGAAGATGTTTTTAAAAAGTTAGCATGTGTGGACGGGATTCCTTCGTCCGCCTACATCTGGTCTAGCCCTTAGTTAAATTTCTACAAGAAGTCGGAGCGAGCCGAAGTGTGAATGCAACAGGTAATACCCAGGAAATAAAGAGGGCGTATAGGTGATGACATTCACATCAAACATCTGGTGAGAAACCTGTGGGATCATACGTTCTTTTCCCTTCTTATACATCACACTGTAAACTACTGTATTTGCATAAAGTGCTGATAAAAAGGCACACACTGTCATTACAGCATCAGGCGCTGGTGCTTCCTCTATCATCTTGCACCATCCTTTTCATGTCATGTTCTGCCTCCAAGCACATGCTAACATTAACACCCCCCAAAAAAATTAAATAATGCTGCAGTGTCCTTGGCAGAGGCTGCACTCTTCAAGTACTATTTTACTCTTTGCATGTTTGCCCAGCAGGCTAATAGTCTGTGTCTGTAACAAGACAGCGTGCAGGTCTGGGCAACACAGGCAGGATATCAAGACCTGGAAGTGTATCATTAAGCATCG